CGTGATCCAACCATCTGTCAGTACTTTCTCTGAGACGGCGGCTGCGAGTGTTGTGGAGTAAATTGTCAAAAAATCGACTGTTTTTATTCAGAGAAAAGTTCACTTTGAAATGATCAGCTCAGCAAACTCACGTAGCGTTAGCCTGGAAGTGCTTCACAGAGAGACAGCAGAACTCTAAACTCGGTATTTTTTAATATATGTAGCAGTAAGGTGAACCCCGGGGGCGTCGGGGGTGGGGTGGGGGGGTAAACTGCAGATAGTTTTGATTTGTTTTGTAGAACTTTTTGAACAAGACTTTATTTTTCAGCAACTTGGCTTCATAGGAACCATTTTCATTTGGTACTTCATTACATTCAGCAGGTACTTTATTTTGTAAGTAGTTGAAAGCTGTGACTGAGTTTCAGTTTGTGGGAAATGTTCCGTAATCACTGAAGTTTTCTGCTGAGAAAATTTTTGTATTTTTTTATGTGCTGTCAGTTGAAGGAAGTAGGAATCGGCAAAGAATTGTAAAAATCAAAACGTTCAATCTTTTACCCCAGAGGTATGTAGAGTACACAATTCAATCTTTTACCCCAGAGATATTTACCCCAGAGGTATGTAGAGTACACATCATGTGAATTTGAATTAAAGCAGTAAAATATCTTTTACTAAAAATTGATTTGAAAATTGACCTGGTTGACTGTCAACATATGAAACAACAACAGAAGAAGAAGAAGAAGAAACAGGAAGTGGAAAGAGTTCCACTGGAGAACACTGTTGGTGTCTGTGGAACAAGTTCTTCCCACGTTCTGTTCCAACACCTGAACGTCTCTCAGCCAAGTCTGGGTTTGATAGTGGGTCACAACCAACGTTTTTAGCAGCATACTGCCACCTACTGGACTGGAGTTTGTAGTGTCATGGTCTGACCAGTGACTTTTTCACTCTACTCCTTACGCCTCGATGAGATGATTCATTTTTTATTTCAACCGACGAGAATTGTCTTTTTACGCCTCGATGAGATTCATTTTTGATTTCAACCGACGAGAATTGTCGTTTACTTATTGTCATGTTAACGTCATTAATTCAGTCAGTTCGTCTGCCTGTGGTGTTTTTCAAAAGTCTGTCTGTCGGGGGCATTTATTCGCCACCTGCCGAGTCATGTGACTCGTTGTTTGTTGTGCAGCCTACAGCTGATAAATAATTATTTCTCTGCACTCCGCTGCTGTTTTGACACAAATTAAATCAGTGGAAATAAACAAAAGCTGTCATTTCAGACGAGACTCTCTTTGAGGTGATCACACATCAGCGCCCCCTCAGTGTGTGTGGTGACCTGCGGGTATGTGTTTTCAAATCAGGAGTTCATTGGTAATGTGTTATTTTCTTACACCTTAAAAACCTCTGTGAGCCGAGGCAGAACTCAGCGCTCCACTCCTTCATCGATTTATTTTATTGTTCTTTCACCTGATGAATAGAAATCGCCCTCTAGGGGCACATTTACCCGCAGGAGTTCCGACGTACGGTCGCTTTAAAATAGCAGTTATATATTTTTTTTAATGACTAATGGCTGGTCGAGTCCTGAACGGCACACTCTCAGAGGCTTGATATCACGGCAGGTGTTCTTTGTCTGAGGAACCACGGTTTAGACCTCCTTCAGTCAGACCTTCGTCACGTGGGCTTTTATTCAGTCCTTTCACACGGCGATGCCTGTGTTATACACAAACCCATTAATTGTTCCTTCAGTTTCCATGGAGACCTCGTTCACCTATCAAACATGTTTTAACAGATCTTAAGCAGCTAAGTGGACCGAGTTCTCCAAGAGCCCCGGAAATCTCCCACCTGGAGGTTCCCTGGTGCTAAGCAATTAAATCAATTATCGCCAAATCCACAGAGAGGAAGGGCGTGCAGGGCGGAAGTGGTCGACCAATCAGGTTTTAGTAGTGGCGCTTACCAACACCTGCATTTTTGTGAACTCCAGAAAGTTCTCCGTCAGTTGGGAAGGAAAGGAGTGGACATTAAATAAGTCAGTAGAGGAGGAGAAGAGGAAGGAGATCTTCTACTTTTTTTTACTTTTCTTTTTCTTGTTTTTCTTCTTCTTCCTCTTCTTCTTCTTAGATCTTCTTGCTCTTCTTTTTTTTACTTTTCTTTTTCTTCTTCTTTTTCTTCTTCCTCTTCCTCTTCTTCCTCTTCCTCTTCTTCCTCTTCCTCTTCTTCTTCTTCCTCTTTTTCCTCTTCTTTTTCTTCTTCTTTTTCTTCTTCTTCCTCTTTTTCCTCTTCTTTTTCTTCTTCCTCTTCCTCTTCTTCCTCTTCTTCTTCCTCTTCCTCTTCTTCTTCTTTTTCTTCTTCTTCTTTTTTTTCTTCTTCTTGTTTTTCTTCTTCTTCCTCTTTTTCCTCTTCTTTTTCTTCTTCTTTTTCTTCTTCTTTTTCTTCTTCCTCTTCTTACTCTTCTTCTTCTTCTTTTTCTTCTTCCTCTTCCTCTTCTTCTTCATTTTCTTCTTCTTTTTTTTCTTCTTCTTGTTTTTCTTCTTCTTCCTCTTTTTCCTCTTCTTTTTCTTCTTCCTCTTCTTACTCTTCTTCTTCTTCTTCCTCTTCTTCTTCTTGTCCATGTAGCTAACATTGACCGGTCATTTAAACAGGTTCAGTTCAGATCTCGTTTCCATTGTTGTTCAGTTGATGTTGTCTCTCTGTCCTCGGAGACTGACNAAACCGTGTTGTAAATACAAAAGAACTCCAGCACGGACACTTGGCTCTGTGATGACACCAGATGTTCCTCATATTTTATGGAGTCAGTGCTAATTAACTGGAGTGATGAGTTTAGAGCAGCAGCTTCTGTTACGGTTCTACACGGTTCTACGTGTCCAACTGAAGACTGGACATCATACAGTGTCTGTTCTATATACAGTATATATGTGTATCTGGTTATATATACATATATGTTTACATATATACATTTACATAAATATACAGTATATGTGACAACAGATTTTTATGACAGTAGTGGTCGCTGTTTCTTCCTCTCTGTACTGTGTCACTTTCTTTAAAGGCCGTTTTATTTAGATAAACACTGGTCACGCGGTGCTCTCTGGTTTTGTAAGTGCAACAGTGCCATCCTGTGGCGGCATGCTGGAAAAACACGTGTTTACAACACGACTGAAAACTTTCTATAGATGAATCACAGACTGTAAACACACTACAGTACACACATATACACACATATATATCTATTCAGGTGTCCATCCCTTTGGTACCAGACAGTACAGATGGTTCTGAGCCGAGTCCAGACTGGACTGGACCGGACCGGACCGGACTGGACTGGACTGGACCTGACTGGTCTGGTCTCTTAGGGGCCAGTTGGAATAAAGGGCTGTTTCATAAATATTTGTTTTGTTTATATTAGCTTTAGTTTAGTTTTTTTATTAGTTTAAATATTAGCTTTGTCTCTGTCCTGGAAATAAAAATGTCCTGGAGCCCAGAGAGGAGTTTAAGAACCCCAGAACCCACGTCTCCCCAGAGTTCCACATCATTTACCCCCCGCAGGCAGACGTCTCCACATCCTGCAGCGACTAATCAAAAGAGAGCACCGGCAAAGAGGGTCTGAGCTGACGGTCGGTGAGAGGCGTCGCTTCAGTGACACCGCGGTGTTTGTAGAGCAGCCATGACGGACTGTCCAGGCAGAGGAGGGCGCCACTGAGGAGGACGCCACTGGTACCTCAGCAGGGGTGTCTAAACATACGGCCAGGGGGCCAAACTGGCACATTGGTGAGTTCAATCCAGTGAAAATATAAAAACACACCAACACTTCATGTTCAGGAAATGATCTTACATTAATTATGAATAAATATTGACAAATATTTAATTTACTGGTTTGCATGAAAACAAGGGGGGGAAAACATGATTGTTATTTATATGGTCCACTGGAGCATGTTCTTATGGAACATGGACCAGTGGACCATGAATGGATGAGTTTCTGAGATATTAGAACATGGTCCAGTGGACCAGTGACCTTGGGATTCCATGAATGGATGAGTTTCTGAGATATTCTGTGTAATAAAAACTTTTGTCTGCAGTGAAGATGAAAGAACGTTTTACAAAGTTTAAAGTCGTTAAAATGACGATGTTTGAAAGGTTGCATTTCAAAAATTCAATTTTTTGACATTTTGAAAACAAAACAACTATTCAATCAATCAATTAGACAAAAAATAAAAGTTTTTTTTCAGCACTGATTGTGGTATTTAGACACTGTCGATTCCTGGACGACATTCAAGACCATCAATAATCACATGATCAACCAGAGGTCCATGCACCTTAGTTTTAGAACCACTGGAAATGTCACATTTTACAACCTCTTAAAGCTATTACAGCTCAGCTGTGTAAAAATGAAGTGAAGTCACTTTGTAAAAATGTTTTCAGATCTGTAGAACTCTGCAGCTGTCACTGCTCCACCGTGTGGGTTGATTTACATAAATCACACACAAAAAAAACACGTTTTTATTAGTAATTATATATTCAGAGAATCATCTTCCCTGACACCGTGACTGTCCTGAAGGCTCCTCCCCCCAGATCCTCCAGTCACAGCGGTGGGACCAATCAGAACGACAGCATGAACTCGTTTGACTCCTGCAGCCACAGTTTGTTCCACTGTAACCAAAGGTGACAAGTGCAGGGTTTTTTTAATCAAATAAAAAGTAAAGTTGATGAAAAAAAAATTTTTTTCCCTGACAATTACAACTCATTTCCACAAGATGGCAGCATTGATACCATAAAACAATACCATGTATATTGATTTAATGTGAAACTAAACATATGTATATTTTCATATATATGTTTAAACAGAACATGATATAAAGTATATATATATATACATACTGTATATATTTATACATATATGTATATTGTTAGTGATTGGCGTAGCTTTGGGGGCGTGGCTCCGGAGTGCAGCCAGGTGTTTTTCATGCCAATCAGTGGGCGTGTTTTCAGCTCACCTGTTGAACTCTTATAAATAGTTTTGGTGTTTGTTCCCACAGTGGCTGGATCCACGTGACATGGGTTCTGTAGCTGGTCTTCAGCTGCTGCTCCGGACGTCGTTGAAGCCATGAGTTCAGAAAAGCCTTTCATTGGCTGTAAAATCGGTTTGATCTCCAGAGCTCAGAATCGCTACGAGGGGATTTTGTACACGATCGACAAGGTCAACTCCACGGTGGTGTTGGCTAAAGGTGAGTGCCGTGGACCGCGGACCTCTTCGTGGGACTTTAAAAAAAATGACCGGTAATGTTAACGTCACGTGGTGTGCTTCAAGTCAGGTGTTTCGGGACGGAGGGGCGACTCAGTGACAGGCCGAGCCCGCCCAAAGATGACGTCTACGACTACATCACCTTCCGTGGAAGTGACATTAAAGACATCACTCTGTATGAGGTCCCCGGGCCTCACCTCCAGCACGGACTCCCCCCGGACCCTGCCATCGTCCAGGTGCGGCTTCAGTTCTGTAAACGATCTAAACTGAGAGTTTAAAAAAAAAAAAAAAAGAGTCAAAGTTCGAACCGTTCTGTTTCAGTCGTCCATCCCCGGTCTACCCGGAGTCTACTCGGCTCTGAACCCGTTCAGCTCTGTGAGGATGCCCGGCTACAACCAGCTAGCTGCTAACCCTCTTCTCCAGCAGCAGTACGCTGCGGCCCCGGGCCTTGGTAATTATTACCCTCCTCGTTGACTGACAGGTGTGGTTTCTGTAACCTGGACCTGTCGTAAAACTCGGGCTAGAGATGCTACATGGCTATCACTTAGCAACTCTTTCCACCCAGTCAGCTAACAAAGACGCCGCTTTGACAGAAACCATCAGCTCAAGTCTGCCCCCCCACTGGTACAGGCAGAGAAGTTTTTTTTTTTGTTTTGTTTTTTTTTTAATTTGTCAAACGTATTCAAATAAGACGAACATTGACCAGTAGATGTCGCTTCATCACGTCTGTGGAGCAGCTCCCTGTGTTGACGCTGCGTTTTAGTCTGTTGGATGTTTCGCTCAATAGCGGCCTCTGCTGGAGTTTAAGTAATTTGTGGGAACTTTGTATGAAGAACGTGGAAATTGAACAGATAAAATCGTTATGACGTGTAGATGCTCGTAATAGGTAATCAAGCTAAATGCTAACTATATTCCCAGTAAAAATACAGAATTTTAGTGTCACATTTTTAACTCCACGTCTTAGGAAAACAATCTTCAGTTTTTCTGAGGCACTCAGTCTCCTGTGATTCTGATGTTGTGTGTCATTTGATCCATTACTGTTTTCACTCAGTGTTCCACACAGAACATCATTCTCATATTCCTCTTTCAGGACCTGTGATTCCAGGTTTACACATGGGAAGACCGCCGATGGTGGAGAAGGCTGTCCAAACCCTGAACCTGGAGGCGTTCAGGCAGGGACGGAGCTTGAATGTGTTCCAGGAAGATCAGCAGCAGCAGCAGCAGCAGCAGTGGCCGAGGAGGAACCTCCCGAGGAGCAGAGCAGAAGTTTCCAATCCCAGAAGGATCGCAGAGAGTGTTGGTAATGATGTATTTACTGAAGAGTGTTGGACGGAAACACCGGTTTGGAGTTCTCCCCCTCCTACTCTGTCTTTGTCTTTGTCCTTCAGTGAAGCTGCGTCCTGTTGCACCCGTCGAACTGCAGGAAACTCGGAGGCAGTACAACGAAAACAGGCCGCCGCCCAGAAGAAGACAAGGTGCTGGAACCGAACGAGGTCCAGGTGCCAAGTTTAGCATTAGCATTAGCATTACCTTTATTTATTTTAATTTTAGGTCCTCGGAGACGCGATCGTACTTTATTTATTTCAATTTTAGGTCCTCGGAGACGCGATCGTAGCAGGGGACAGTTGCTGGTGACCAAAACTCGGTCCATCACCCTTAGGTTTGACACCGACTTTGATTTTGATTCATCGAATGCACAGTTCATCAAGGAGAAGCTGGAGGTGGAAGGTCAAAGGTCAAATGTGAAAGGTTGGTCCCGTGAAGAAATAAATGAATTCATTTGATATCCTGACCCCAAAGTGGAGGGTCCCGCCCCTTACTTTGGGAACCACTGCATTAAGTGTTATTTTGTCTGCAGGTGCGTTAGAGGTGGAGGAGAAGGACGTGTTCACGGAGGTGGACGATCACTTCAGACCCAGATGTTACGACAAAACCAAGTCGTTCTTTGACAACTTCTCCTCTGATAATAAATTCAGGTAGTTTTTTTTTGTTTGTTTGTTTGTTTTTTTCTCGGTGTAAAACATGTTGAAATGACTTTTTAATCCCCGCTTAATTTTTAAATTTTTTTTTTTTTTTTTTTTTTTAAATCTGACTTTTCCAGGTTGACGTGGGCAGAGGAGCGAAAACGCAATCTGGAAACGTTCGGTGTTCCTGGGCGCTTCCTCCGGGGTCGTGGTTTTAGGGGCAGATTTACAGGACAGAGGGGGAGGGGCAGAGCTCAGGTGCCTTTGTACAGAGACCGGGGGGGGCCGTGGTGAAGGTCACGTTAGAGCTCAGGCCGATGAAAACACAACACCTGTTCTGTTCACGTCATCAGTTAGACCTTTATTTTGAAAGCGTTTCGTTGTTACGCTGAATTATTTTTTGTTTCTTTATTACTGTATCACACGTTGTATTTATATGACCTGGACGTAAACCGGACGAACTGAGGTCGGATGTGATGAAGTCTGGAATGGTTGTGTAAATAAAGTGGGAAAAGTACACATGTACTCGTCTCCTGATGTTTCAATACTCCGAGAGAGTAAAATTTACTGCATTCAGTGAAGTGTGACCATCACGGTTCATCACGGGGTCAGGGTTCGTACCGACAGTCCTGGTCTCTTATCGACAGGACCAGTGCTTGGTACCATGGACAGTTCTTCAGCCAAGGCTTGAACTGATGGTTCTACTGTAAGGCCAGAGTAATAACCACTGCTCCATAGTGTGTTAAACACATGATGTCATTAGTTTGAAGCACTTTTAAAAGAGTTTGAGGATGACCTTTGACCCTGCCACTAAGTTGTAAATGTCCTGTGTTTGAGGTAGAAAATTAAAAAAGAGCTCAATATTCTGTTCAGTTTATTGAGTTGTATCTATATATGTGTATAAATATATATGTACATTTTTATATGTATGTATATATTTATACATATATTGTACTCAATAAATTGTTTAGAATATTGAACTCTTCTAATTGGTTTATGTCTCTCCGTGTGTGTGTGTCCACACACATATATGTCGGTGTCCCTGCTCCGTCTGTCCATCTCTCCCAGGGTCCTCGGCCTGGACTCGGTTGCAGACCCCTGACCTGGAGACTACTGACGGTCGTACTGAGAGTGAGCTGATTGGCTGTCAGGAGTCAGCGGACCCTCCTGTCTGTCAGTGCAGGACAGTGGTAGGCTACTGACAGACTGGACCGAACCACAGACGGAGGGAGACCGACTCACCGTCAGCTGCTCCGCCGCGGTCTTTACGGTCAGTCAACAGACAACAACTGACAGCACGGACTGTGAGCCACACTGTCCACGTCAACATCGTCTCTTCTTCTCTTTACAGTCCAGTCGGGAGGAGGTTGGCTCCTCCCCCTCACCTCCTCACCCCTCACCCTCCCCGTCACGGTGATGTAGAAACACGGTGACCAAACAGAGGGCAGGAAACAAACATTAGAATAAAAGACGCGCTTTTCCTTCACTTATGGTAAAATGTCCGTGGTCTTCTCGTCGGCGCGGCCCCGGAGTAAAGGGGAGGTGACGCAGCAGAGCATCCAGAAGGTAGGAACAGACGGGGGGAGGGAGGGGGGGGAGGGAGAGGGGGAGGTGGTGCTGATGCTGCCGCTGTCTGGGAGGACACTGAAGTAGAAGGAGGACACCAGCAGAAATGGCAACTGGTTTGAGACGCGGTTCACAGACAGGAAACGAAGCCACGGCGGTGACGTAGGCGAGCGGTCCGCCGTCAACAGTGTGTGATGTAGGGATCACTGGGATTGGTTCACGTCGGTGTTAGCTGAGCGGACAGCACCGCGAGTGGAAGTTGAAGTGAGTGACACGGTTTTATCGTCACGGACTGAAGCAGGTCGATAAAAGGCAAAACAAACAAACAAACAACAACAACCTGGAGCGGGAAATATTCCACGCGTGTCGTCGTTCACGAAGTCTTCGTTTCGCTGAATAACTTTGAGCTAAAAAAAAAAAAATCCCATCAATGTCCTGCGTGTGTTTGTTGAGGCTTCAACCTCAGGTCAGCGGCCCAGCTTGTGTCAGACCAGCCTCACAGTCTACCACTGACAGGTTGTCAAAAGTGAGGGGCGTGGCCCGTAGATAGATCAATAGATCCTCCAGTACATGTTAAAAAAAAAAAAACAAAGATCAGTGACTTGTCTATGGTGTTTAGATCTACGTCTGTCGTCTGGATGAGTTCTGTTCTGATCAGTTCTGTTCTGTTTCCCTCCACAGATGTTGGATGAAAACCACCATCTAATACAGTGTATCATGGATTACCAAAGCAGAGGGAAGACGGCGGAGTGCACACAGTGAGTGTTGAGTTTCACCCTCCGGTCAAGGCCGTGTGAATGTGGTGTGAATGTTTCACAACAACCTGTTCACTCCTCCTCAGGTATCAGCAGATCCTGCACAGAAACCTGGTCTACCTGGCCACAATAGCAGACTCCAATCAGAACATGCAGACTCTACTTCCTGCGGTGAGTGACAACATTTCCTGCCATCGGTTTGACCCCCATGACCCCACCCCCTCCCAAAAGGGTTGAACGACGGAGGAGAGATTCTTAAAATCTGACTGTGAAGTTTGAGTTTCACTCTTCATGAATAAATAAAATAAATAATTCAGTTTAGTTGCCAAAGTAAGGGGCGCTGCCACCAGGGGGAGTACAGCTGGGAAAACTGCACTGATTTGTAATTTAATTTCCTTTATTCAATTAAAAGATTATTATTGTACATTATTGTGAATTTTTTTTTATTTTTATTTTTTTTATTCACCACGTTGCCGTTGTGTTCTCTCAGCCAATAAGATCGTGAACGTGGTTCTCATCTTTCAGCCTCCCACTTCCAGTTTGTCCGTCGGTCCTGGAGGGATGGGTCAGAGTGGGGGACATGGACCAAGCAACCTCAACGACACCATGGCACAAGCAGCGCCCCCTACCTCTATGATGCAGAGTCACATGACCAATGGTGCAATTCATATTCTTATTTGAATTATTGCTGTGGTGTTTGGCTGAATTCTGGTTTATAATGTGTCACCCAGCAGGGGGCGCACTTTCATCCATCTGCCTGCTGCCTACACCATGCCCCCCCAGGTTAAAAAATCCCATCCACGCCCCTACATGTACCATAGCTTTAGAACCATTGTTTTAAGGCCTTGTGTTGACCGTTATTCTGTGACCTTTGACCTCGTCTCTGTCTGTAAACATTTGTGTTTCGTTCATTTGCCAGTTTTCATTTCACCTCACCTTTAACCCCTTCGGTTCTTTTCATTTCACCTCACCTTTAACCCCTGACTCTGATATGCAGCCCCCCCTGCTGGTTGCCTGTGTGTACTTATCCGTCCTTCCAGTCACTACTGTGAGACACTTGTCTCTGCTGTGTTTGTCCCTCGTCCTCTTTACTGAAGACATTTCTTAATGTAGTTGTTCTGTGGAGATCTCCTTAATGCCCCCTCCTCCCCAGTTCCCATGATGCATCAACAATCTGCCCCTCCACACTACTCCTCAGCTCAGACTGGGGGACAGCCGTACCAGGGACAGCAGGTCATGGGGGTGATGGGACAGCTCACCCAGGGGAACAGTGTGATGTCCCAGAGGTCCATGGGGTCGTACCGCTCCTCGCAGCAAGGTACAGGTACTACACATGTTAAAGTACAACTACCTCAAAAAATATTTGATGTTATACATAAATACACTGTCTCACTCACAGCACAGAGCTCCATTTAACGACTGTCATAATCCTAGTCTCGTGTAGATTCCCCTGCTTGCCACTAGAGGGAGCCAAACCAAAACTAAATCCCGTTCCCTTCAGGTTCTGTGCAGCAGTACGTTGGACAGGAAGAGTTCTACGGCGACCAGTTTGGACACAGTCAGAGCTCCAGTGAGCCCGCGAACCAGCAGTTTTACCCTGATGGTAATTAAACCTCTGAACACGAAGAACTCAGACTGTAATGATCGATGAATCACTTTGACTCTGTATGAACCGACTTTCTGAATGAAAGTGACAAGTGTGCCCTCTGCAGGTCACGGAGAGTATGCTTATCAACAGTCAACATATGGGGAGCAGGCCTACGACAGGTCGTTCGAAGAACCTTCACAGCATTTCTTTGAAGGAGGTAATAGTAAGTTGTCTCGACTTCTTCACCGGTTCAGTCCAAGTCGTCGGGCGTCAAACCCAGACCTGACAGGAAGCACGTGTGTGTTTCCAGGAAACTCTCAGTACAGTCAACAACAAAGCCATTTTCAGCAGAGCTCCGGTCAGCAGCAGCAGCAGCCGGCCTACGGTCAGCAGCCATATCCGTCACAGCAGGGCTACGCAGGACAGCAGCACAGCTACGGTCAGAGCCCGAAATACTTCGAAGTACTTCACACCCTGTGGCCACATATATGGAAATATATATCTGTGTTCTACAGTATCAACAAATGGTGTCATAGTGTAGCGGTTAGCATGCCTAACTGTCATCTGGGCGGGAACCAGGCGTTGAGTTTTAGCTTTTAGCGATATTGCAGATAATAATAATTATGCTAATATCGGTCGATATCGTTTTGCCGATATTATCGGACATCCCTAATTATCATGAAGGAAACATGGTAGTTCTAAACCATGGATTTATCTGGTTGTAAGTTACTGTTATAATGTTCCAACTGAGTCACTGACTTAGTTACTTTTTCTGAAAAGTAACTATTAATTAGTTACTCTTTTCTTTAAAGTAACATGTCCGACCTTTGGCTGCTCCAGAAACGACAACTGTGATCAGACTGGTCATTGAGTTAATAAGGTTTAGGTTAATTCTAGTCAATGACTAACAGAGATTTGACCTTTGACCCTAGGACAGGTCAGTCTTCAGACTGTAAATGTAAACAGTAACCATGTTAGTTCTGCTCGGCTGCACGGACTCCTCTACAGGTCCAGGTCAGACTGGATCCTCCCAGTACCCTCAGTACCAACAGGGTCAGAGCCAACAGTACGGTACCTACCGCTCAGCCCAGGGGGCGCCAGGAGCACCGACACAGAGGCCGTACGCTTACGAACAGGTACATGGCTAATCTGTGAGTTTTATTTACATATAAATGAATAAATATATATCAACTTAAATTCACATTAACTTTACATTTAACTTAGAGAAAAAAAACTTTGATTTTGTCAGATCAGTGAACTGTGTGAATACTTTTACACTGCAGGGTCAATATGGAAATTATCAGCAATAACGTACCGAACTGTTGTCCTGCTGGAGGAATTCTGAACTGCAGAACTCGGCTGTGCCGTGTTGGACGACATCTGGCTGTGACATTATTTATTAGATTTCATTACAGTGGAATACTTTATGGATTTTTTTTGCATTCATGTCAGTTCAGGTCATGAGGTCCACCTGGTGGTTGAAATGTAAATGACACCTGCACACGACGAGTGTTTGGTCGTATTAACACGGAAGTCAGTGTTAAATCTGAACATATATATTTATACAGGCACTGAAAAAAAATATATTATAACTTGAAGAATCGAAATATATCTAGTTTATGTCAATGTTTACACGTGTCTTATAACTTGTCGTTATCATGTGTTTATATTTTATTTAAGGATGTTATTTAACTTGTCGGTGTTTATATTTTATTTAAGGATGTTATAGATAAGGCTCATATTAATCCAGACTTGATCAGGGTTTCGGTCAGATATTTGTGTCTCGCCAAGTTTAAAAAAAAAAAGTAAAATTCTTCCTGATGTAGACTAACTTGGGATGTGAGGACTAGATGGTATTGATAATTTTTTTGTCTGTTGTCCTGTCAGATTTCCATACCTGCAACAATGACATACGCTTCTTTACCGCCCGCGTTCACAACTAAAAACACTAGATGGCGTGTTTAAATGAACTCTCTCACTGCTCAACCGTTGCCATAGTTACTCTAAGTGACCAATCTATCCTCAGGTCTTCCCCTGTGTAAGATGAAGCCTGAGCATGTAGCGGCTCATTAGCGTTTAAAGCTAACGGCACAGGAACCAGGCGTTCAGAACAGGCTCATTAAACAGTTGTGTAAAGATTTTTATTTTTTTTTAATTTCTGGACCAAAGTCAGTCACTAACGTGTTCCATTTAGATGTCAAGGAACTATAGTTATTTCTATAAAAGTAGCAGAAGATGTCCCCAAACTTTTTCGTGTCACTGACCAGTTAACCGGTCCTGGCCAGTACCACGGACCGATTAATGACCAGTTAACCGGTCCTGGCCAGTAGCACTGCACCGACTGTTGGGGTATTGTTAAGGTAAATTTTCTAAATAATACATCTTTAAGACTTTATTCTGTCTGTTGAAGTATTGTTAAGGCAAATTTTCTACATAATACATCTTTAAGACTTTATTCTGTTAGCATCGGAGTCTGAACGACGTCCAGTAGCAAATAACCCACGGACCAGTAGCAGTCCGCGGACCTGGGGTTGAGGACCCCTGCTGTAAAAGGTGAAGAATTTATCAAGATTTATCAAATAAGTTTGAAAAACTAGCTCTGATTTCCTGCCGACACACAGCCGCGGAAATCAGTTCTGAACGAGAAACGCTGCTCCTTCAACCTCAGTCTGATTGGTCAGTTTTAGAGGCGGAGCCTGAAGAGACTCTCGGGTGTCGCTGTCGTGTCGCTGTCGTTTGTTCGGTCTGTATACAGAGATGCCACTTTGTCTGCACTTTATTTGTCAGTGTTGCCTCAGTGTGTCGTCACAGTGCAGTACAGACTGTTCTATTATGAATTCACTGATGCTGAGAAGCCAAAGTTACACAGGAAAGGCACCGCGCCCTGCACCTCCTCTTTAAAAAGTGCAATACTCTTTTAGTTCTTTTAATTGTTGTTCTTTGAATTTAATTGATTCTGTTGTATTTTTCTGATTTCTTGTTTGTTTTCTTTCACTCTTTGCTCACCAACCCTCGTGACTCTGAGGGTTCAGCTTCACAGTAGCTAACTGTAGTTAACCACGGTAACAGGTTCAGTCAGTGCTGTTGAACAGTTATCTGGCTGTTCAACAGCTAAACATCTCTGTGACAGCCAACAGTGACAATCAGAGGCTTCTCTCTCTCCTACAGTGAGTGGAGTTGTTTTAGACTTTAGTTCCACTGTGATCTCTCTGTACTCGGTCTGTACTCGGTCTGTACTGTGTTTTCCAGTTTTCTGGTACAGTATCTGTAATCACCAATCTGTGCCCAATACCCTGTGTGTATGAGTGTGTGTGCGTATCTATAATCAAACTGCTTCTGTCTTTTGCTACAGTTTGTTATATGACAATAAAGTTGCATTCACATTTGTACATCTGCATTCGATAATTTATTACATAAGTTCATAAAAAAAACACAGGATATCAACGGTACAGTAGATACAGTACGAACAAAAAAAAACGATCAACGGTACAGTAGATACAGTACGAATGTGGAGTATTTTAATGTAGTACTCTGTAATGTGGCGCTGTGTTTGGCCGACCTACTGAGGATACACGGTTTTTTATTTCCTGCTTTACCACTCCAGCACTAAAGGGGGCAGTAGAAGGTCCACCGCGCAGAGGAAGTGCCCATTCACGGTTTCCGTTGATTTCAGCTACATGAGTGTACATAGAGTCAAGAATACTGCGGCGTTTCTGCTTATTTTACACCCTTTTTTCACAAACGACATCATATTATTTTAAAGTCGTCTGTGGACGGTAGCCCGGTGTGTCCGTCACCGATATTAGGACTCTTATTAATCGGAGTGACATTGTTTCACATGTTAGCCACAGTAGCTATCTAGTTACCCTACAAAGATGTTGGCGACGTTGGCTAAAAGTGTCAGGGCCAGCCGTCTGCTTTCTCCGGAGACAGTGTCAGGGTTAAAACTAAGACAAAACGAACGGGGGAAAGTGTTAATGTTGTTCGGGGCAGGAGTCAGAAACTTCTGCGGCTCCTCTACTCTCTGTGCCAAAGCCAGAGGAGTTCAGAAGAAGAACGACGTCACAGAGAAGAAGCTGGTCAGTGATTCTCCTCACTACGTCACACACACGTTGAATTTACCTGATAAAGTGAAGGGATTTTACTGTAACATTTTATTAAAACTGTAAAATATGTCCGTTATAACCAACATTTTATATTGCTCTTGTGTATAGACGAAAGACAACGTGTGACGTCAGTTCTTCTCCTATATATCACACACGTCTGGACCAGCTTATTAATTGTAGTAAAGATACGAGATAAATACACATATTTGAAGTATACACGTGTACTCCATAGACTCGTCACTTTGTCGACCATCGGCGCGTGAAGCTCGTCGCTGGGTCTGGAGGTAGAGGTGCCTGCTGCTTTCACAGCGAGCCCCGCAAAGAGTGGGGGGGACCCGATGGAGGCAACGGAGGTGACGGGGGGAGCATCGTTATTAAGGGTAAGCTGTGTCCTCGCATATTTGATGACTCGAAAGACAGAAAAATATCATCTATTGCAGTATAACTTTTTCTTCACGGTCGTATATATAAACGTGTGTTGTAAGGTTTTTCGTGTAATTTTTCAGTGTAAAGTAGATGGTGCCCTCTTGTGGCCATATTTATATGAAATTATTGTTGACATATGACTCGCTTTAAAATACAAATTGCAGGAGCAGCAAACAACTCAATAGGTGTAATTTATAATCCGGGAAATACGGTAGTACAATAATTGTTTTAATGGAATGAAAAGACTGAATAAAAACTATGGTATTAACTTTACATGAGAGTATTATGTACTGACAATATGTGCAGTGATTACAACAGGACGTTAAAAAAAATTAGGCCGTTTATATGAAAATGTGTCTGTTTATCTAACGGGGGTATACTGTGTAGGTCCTATATGTAACAAACTGACTGAGTGAATATGGAAGTGTGAAAATGTTAATGATGGATGTGTCTGTACAGCTGACAGAGTTATCAAGTCATTGGCTGAAATCATTCCTATTTACAAGGGAGAGGATGGAGAGTCAGGCGGCAGGAAGAACTGCTACGGTCGCAATGGAAGAACAACGTACATACATGTAAGTTCAAGGTACTGTTTATAAAGTACTTTAATAGGAAACGTCTGGTCGTGTTTCCTGCCTCACTCCACCTGTTGTCCACCTGTTGTGAAGGTCCCTGTGGGCACAGTGGTGAAGGAGCAGGGCAGAACCATAGTAGACCTCACTGAACATGGCCAAGAGTTTCCTGCTGCTTTTGGAGGGGCCGGGGGCAAGGGCAACCGCTTTTTCCTGTCTAATGAGAACCGTGCCCCAACAGCTGCGACTCCAGGGATGCCAGGAGACGAGATAGTCCTGCAGCTGGAGCTGAGAACCATGGCACACGCTGGACTGGTGAGGAAATGCTGGTTGATTTATAAGGAACGTCGCTCTAAAGATTGAACACTGTGACTCTATCATATTTACTTTTTTAAAGTGTAACGTTTCATATGGTTCACCTTCTTTGTCGACAACGTTTGTTGGCCGTGAGTTCTAAAATTGAAGGATTTCTTTGGTAGTAATTGGTTTGACTGAAGTTAAAATAAAAGTGTTGATCGACACCTCACCACAGGGACGACCAAACTTCAAATGACCTAAAATGGTTTAGACCATGTGATAAAAATCAAAAATCAAAATGTTTTTTTTTTTATTTAAATTTTCTTGGATCATTATGCACTACCTAAAGGTAGACAGCGATCTTATTATTAATTATGTACATTAATTGTGTGTAAATATCTAAAGTACATGTTAGTGTACAATGTTAAATCAAAGCTGCTCCTTTCTTCCTCTCCTTCTTCTCCTTCTTCTTCTTGTTCTTCTAAATCATGTCTCATCAGGTGGGGTTTCCTAACGCAGGAAAGTCTTCTTTGTTGAGAGCCATTTCAAATGCCAGGCCTGCGGTGGCTTCTTATCCTTTCACAACACTCAACCCTCACGTAGGCATCGTCAGTTACAGGGATCATGAGCAGGTTGCAGGTAGCTGATTTTAAATACCGTCTAAATAAGGACAAGTTAATGATTTTGCAGCTCTACTCTAGTTCTTGTCTTCCACCGTCTCTCCCTGTTCAGTTGCTGACATCCCAGGGATCATTACAGGAGCTCACCTAAACCGAGGTCTGGGCTTCGCTTTCCTGCGTCACATAGAGCGCTGCCGTTTCCTCCTCTTTGTTCTGGACTTGTCCAGTTCAGAGCCGTGGACTCAGCTGCAACACCTGCGTTATGAACTGGACCAGTACGAGCCGGGTTTGTCGCAGCGACCTCGGGCCATTGTTGCTAATAAACTGGACTTGCCTGATGCCCGGGAGAAGTTAGAGACTTTGAGGAGCCGGGTCACGGAGCGGGTCATTCCTGTGTCAGCTCTGACTGGACAGAACACAGAGGAGCTCATCCTCCACCTTAGAGAGCTGTACGATGGATACCTGCAGGAACAAGGTAGTGAAGGGAGAAAGACAACCAGATGGTAGAAGATTCACTCTGTCCTTTCTGTAAATACAAACAGATATGAATGTATTTATTTTGTTGAGTAAACTTTTCAAACTGTGTCTGCGATGAACCTAATACTCTTCACACTGTGTGTGTGATGTACCTATATATATATATATATATATATATATATATATATATATAAATATAAATAATTATTAAAGCTGTGGAGTTAAATGAGAAAACTGTCGGCCAACCCTGAGTGACTTCCATGTCATCCCTCCTTCTTTGGTTGTTCATCTACCACCTTCTACCTTAACTGATTTAAGGTAGTTTATTTTTGTCAAATCATCCTCAAATGAAGCCAAGTGGTAGCAAGACAGTGACAGACACTAACTGACAACAGTTAAACTAACAGACAAACAACCCCCGGATAAAACTGTTTTTCAAAAAAAGAGATATTTATGGTAAAAGAACAAAAAAAAACCTCAAATACTAATTCATTATTAATTGAAAAGAAACATTTGAATTTTGCCGCTGTCATTTACGAAGCAACAAATCCCACCGCTAGAGAAACAGGTAATCATCTTGAAATTTGACCATTATTATCTATACACAGAGAGAGCCGTTTATTTTGGTTAATAATTGTCAAACAAATTACCATGGATTTTCTGTTTTATAGGAGGGGAAAAATAATAATTTAACATTTTATAACTTTTCATAAATTTGGATAGATTTCTGTTCAAAGTCGATACCTTATAGTGGTCCCTAATCTTTGTTCAGTGGTACGTCATCTAAACGTAGTTTCCATCGTAATATGGTCGTAGTATTTGAGCCAAGATGGCGGCGCTCGGAGAGGCACTGGCCTCGAACTTTCCGTCATGAGGTGCGTTTTTTTAGTTTTTATTCATATTTTAATTACTTTTCACATTAATTCCATTCATATGTCCTGCTGTTTGTCTGTGTGGGCTTCCAAACATATAGTTATAGTTAGTCCTTAAACCTTTATAGTTGCATTTAGCGTTTGTGGACACCAGAGGGCAACTGAAGCCCACAGATGGCATAAAACAGCACACTTGACAGCAGCATTACCGTTCTATTTAATTTTTTTTTCTTTAAGACCGTGTGGTGAGTCATTTAAGTCATTGTCGCCGTTTCCTTCTATTTAAAGTAAAGTTTTTTTTAGTTATTTGTGTTATTCACTGTACCAGTTTATAATCGTCTGGAGCTAGCCGAAACCAGTTTTTCCCAGTTCGCGCCATTAAAACGAGTCGATTAAACATTGATTAAACACTAAACTTAAGTGTATTTAAGTAAGTCCAGCGTCACTTATACTAATAAAAATATAAACATTATTGTTTATTAGTTTTGTTTTAAATTTATATTTTCTTTATGTTCACAGTCCACACTGTCCAGAGCCGCGAAGAACGGATTACTCACAAGCCTGTCAAAGAATTCATTTTCTATCATTCTATGATCTGATTCAAGGATTTACAGGTCAGTGATGTCATCTTCATTCCTCATGTAATTTTGAGATATATATTTTAAGTTATTATTTAAATGTCAGTCTACGTAGCAGTACTAAACGTCATACAAACAGGAAAATCAATGTCTGCTCTCCAAATAAATAGATAAAACTATGCATTAATAAACCTTCTGAAAATAAAGTCTAGTTTATTGAGCAGTACTGTTTATGTACATATAGAAGGCTGTGTTTTTCTTGTGTAAAAGCCAGTGGACTTCAACCTGTAGTTCGTGAGCCACATGCAGCTCTTCAGATATTTAAATTTTCTAAATGGACTGAAGTCACTGAACCTCTGCTTTTCAAAGCACATATCAGGACTAATTCATCCAGTCAGCCAGCGTCCCTGGAGACAGAAGTACACTCTGTATTATGTTTAGTATTAATTTTACAGAAAAGCAAAAAAAGAATTGATTTGGCTTTGGATCTTGTTAGTTAAAAAAATAAAAGGTCACTATCTGCTACCTAAGCCTAAACGTCATCCAGTGTCTAAAAATGTCAAAGAACAATACATTTCTTCCTTGATTTGATTCTTTACAAATCTGGAATATGTATATATGTATCTACATGTATGTTATTTATAATGTTGTGTACTGTTCTGTTGACTATATTTGAATGGTTGATTCTTGTTGTTCTTGAATAATTATTTTATGGTTAAATGATACAAATGGCCTTTTGTGGTGTTCATACTTGTGAAGGTATAAATGATAAAAAGGAAGTATATTTTTACCTTACTCTATGACGTCAATCACGCGTTCTAATCATGAGAAACATTATACACACATGCATTCATGGAGATAATTAAAAACAAAACTGGCTTGACGACCCGGTCGTAGCTCCAGTTATCAAAACCAGCCTTTGATGAGCCGAATTCACTCGTAAACATACTTTATATACCTGTACATAAATCTTTATTTTTAAACTTTTCACCAGAAACAATGATGATGTTTTTGCATTAACATCAAGCACTAAATAGACCTAAACATTTCAACTCACACTCTTTGTACGATATACACACTGCACAGTGTAAACATGATACACGATATCTTCCATCTCCACACTATATTCCCACATATTTAACAACAACACAATGGCATATACTTTCTCACACCGTGAAGAGCTGATTTAAAGATACAATCTTTTTGTACCATAGTCAAAGGGGATGTTTCTTGTTTCACACCATTAGTGTTGAAATTAAGTTTTTTTTTCTTTTACATTATCTTTGGCAGTGGATCAGTGGGTAAAGTGGGTCGATGCATCTAACCTTGCATCGCTGATGCCGCCTTGGGCAGGACACACAACCCCAAATGCTCCCGTGCTGCGCTGACTGGTGCTGTGAGAATGGGCGTGTTACTGTGAACAGGTAGGAATGAAGTCCGACTTAGGATTTGCTTCCACTGTATTTGCCAGTTGAAAGGTCAGTGTAACTAGTCAATAGAATACCAACTGTGGTGTAAAATCATTTTTCCACATTACTGTCACAACAAGTGCAGAACTCTCCGTACACAGAGTCATAATGGTGCCTCACCTTAAAACATCTAATCAGAGGCTTTGATTTCTTTGCCAACAGATTAAAATACTTCTACTGAAAACCACAGAACCTGTTTATCTTTAATTAAAACATCAAAGTTAAGTGTTAAGAGCAAGGTCAATACTACATCACTGTGTGTGTGTGTCATATATCTACTGTATATAAATGTATATATTTTAAAAAATGTCATTAAATCAACACTAGCTTTTGCCAGATCGTCTGGCAGTCAAACTGATTTGACCTCGATCTAGCCCAGTTTTTCTCAAAATGCCCTTTAACTGTACTCAGGTGCAATGATTCATGATAGGTGTGTGTACTGGCAAGAATCTAGTGATACGATACGTATCACAATAAAGGGGCTACGATACGATATATTGCGATATACTGTGATACAATAGTCATGACGACATATTGAGGTCCCCCCACCCTCCCTCGTGTCACTGTAGTCCCAGTGTGATCCTAGTCTCAGACTCTGTTCCATCTGAACATCAGGTTATTAACATTGGAAAGGAGGGATCTACATTTGGAATCACTAGGGAAGAAACGTGTACTTGAATGTAGCTATAATAAAGCCATAGAGAAAGTTCTACAAACAGGTCTTTAATATCTAATCTGCCACCCCATCCATCTGCTGAAAAACAAGACACCTTTATTTCGATTATACAACTCTAGAAACTGAGACAAATAATTCACCAGTCGACCAAGATACATTGGCCCAAAAGTCAACTTTGCAAAAATAAAAATAAAATATTGTTTATATTTTTTAGGCAGTTGAAGTGCTGAAGTCACCTGGCATAGCTTCTGGTGTTAAACATGAAATTAATACTGTTCTCCTTCAAAGCCTCTAGAAGCACAAAATAATACTCACTGACTTTAGTAAACAAAACCAAACAACACAACTCAACACCCAGTAACTGATACAAACCATGAGAACACAACAGTGTTTTGATATTAAGGCCATGTTGAAACAAACAAAGTGCAGACTTTGTACAAAATATTACATCCCAGTGCAGTGAAACATTTGTTAGACACAACGTATTTGCAGACTTTTCCCCTTTTTGTACCATTTAATTGTTTTATTCCTACTCACTCGCCTGCTCTAACAGCTCTTCTGGGTTCATTAATCAGTTGTTGCCATTGAAACATGTCGACGTGAGGCTATGCCTTCATGTTTAACTATGAGTTTCCGCAAAGGGAACTTGAGGAAACTTTAAAATACCTTTATTTATTTTTTCATTTGTTTTTATGTTGTTATTACCCTGTGTCTCCAGTATGGTTTAGTTAAACAGCCTTTCCTCAGGTTATAGCTAGCTTTACTTCTGCTGTATATCCTGAGACCTCAATGGAACTATTATCACACAACAATACAAATCAGGTTAAAACTGCGTCTCTCTTTAAAAGCGAGTGCTGACTTTGCTAGTTTCCAATGTTTTACACTTCAAGGCTCCTAAAATCGTTGATGCATGAAGCAGCCATGCTGATATTTCTCCATATAAACAGATGGATTTTAGTAACAACAACTTTCCAATTAATAATCCAAATTATTTCTAACATTCAAGCAAAGATAATGAGTTGGACAATGTTCACAATAACAAAGCAGATATTGTTATTTTAGTCCGACCCTTCTGCTCTTCACAGCTTGATGTTTTTCTCTTTAACAGCCTCATGGCAGATATTGCCCAAGGTCTTAAACTTTGGTCCCAGGTCATTTAGAAACTGAAAATCATCTCCCAGGTTACTAACTGAAATCTTGTCCAGTGTCTGACAACTGCTGCCTTGTCCCTCATAGGCATACTGGTGGGGTTGGTACGTAGGGCAGTTTTCATGGTTTCCATTGATCACCTGCAGTCTCTGTAGAATTGGGTCAAAATAGATCTGTGAGTCAGTTTGTCTGTCCTCGGCTGAAGAAATACACTGAGAAGAATCTCTTTTGTTGTGTTTTTTTTGTCTGTAACCTGCACATCTGCACTCATCTGTGGAGTGGTCTGTTACCACCCGTTCAGAAGTACATTGCATTGAATTGGATCATGTAAGACTCACCTTGCCAATGTGGTCTGCAATGTGCTGTTGCGACTGCAGGTTGATGGAGCGCTGGTACCGTAAGCTGTTGTTCTGTCAGACAGAATTGGATTGGAATTGGATTGAGAAAGGATTCAGTAAAAGCTGGTTTATTATGAAAAAATAACAAAAACTATTTACCTGGTATGTGTTGCATACCAATTGTTTTGTAGGAATTACGGGATACTGAAATTCAGAAAACAAAAACATTTTTCAAACCTATTCCTGACACCTTAAGACAAATTGTATATTAAATAAACGTTTTAATCTACACCAACATGATTCACTGTTAAAAGTATAAGTTAAATAGTTAGACAATAGTCCACTTGCTTTTATTAGCTTGTTGATACTTTTTCGTCCTTGCTAGTAAGGTAAGCATAACTTAGTAAATATGTTAGTAAAGTAATAAATTATTTAACAACACAACAATCATTTGTGACCTTACAGCATTTTTGGTGTGACTCGTAAGTGACTCACTGTTTTTGAGATTGATTGACACATAGAAGCCACATAAGCTTTGGATTAAGTTGGGAAATCAGTGTTAGTATAACTCATTATGTATAAAAATAGTACCAGTGACTACCTAGGTGTTATGCAGACTATATTCTTTGAGCCGAACGTCATCTTTGACAGATTCAAATAGAGTTTAAACCTGTTCTTTGCTCCGTGTTTCAGTCTGAAAAACTGAGGTCAGATTTTGTTTTTGACTAAAACCCCAAAAGCCAGAGTCAGTGGTGTCAGTGTCAACTTGGCTGTTATTTATGTAAACATTGTTAGAGGTAGTGATTATCCAATGACTCATTCAGTAGTGCTTGTTTTTAAGACAGCTTTTCTCAGAGCATTGTACAATATTGTTGTTTTTCCAGTTGGTAAGGTGTTGCTTTCTATTAAATTAAATACATGTGCATTGAAAAATGCAATTCCTTAGTGCATTTACCCAATAATTAAACATGTTTTCTGTAAACAGGGTTTGTGCTAAAACCATTTTGTGACTTCAGTGTAGTTCAACCGGCCTTTGCATTAAGTTAACGACGGTGTCAGTAAACGTGTTTGCCAGGGCAGCCACTGTCTGACTCACCATGTTTTGTCCTCTATAGATTTGACAGGCATCTCTTTGATGCATTCCCAATGTGCCCATGGACGATTGATTTTGTAGCTGACATTCAAGAAAGACAAATTTGTATTAAATTGCTTTGCATAAAATACAAATTATTAAGTCCCTGTTTGTAACAATTGTACTTATTTTGACAAATCGTGTTACTTTAAAACAGTTCTTTAAAAACTCCATCAGTCATTATTTGATAATAGAGAGTGTGAAAATCCTATACCGTGTAGAGGTCTGCCTTGTATTTGTCATTGACATCTTTTATCAGTGCATCTGTTTGAGAGACCTAACAAAAAAGAAACACACACAATAAAGCAGCACTATTGTATCTCTAAAACTCAAATGTGTACCTTATATCCTGAGAAGCTGAGCTAGATTCACAAGCTTTGCAGAACCTGTAATTAAAGCCATAAACCTGTCTATAAATCACACAAACCTAAATCCTGTGCCTGCATGAACACATAACTGCCTTATATGTCATATAATAAAATGGGTCGTAACCTTAAGGAATTTGGCAAGCCACTATGCTATAGCAGCAAACTCTTTCTCTACAAGTTCAGGATTGTCAGCCGAAGTCATGTAGGGCCTGCGGTGAAAATTGGCAGAATTGAGAAGGACCTGCCGACTTACTTGTTTTCTGCCATCTCTTGTCGTCCCACCATTTGTAGATGTCAGGAGAAGAGAAGGTTTAGTCTGTCGGAAAAAGTTGAAAACAGAACATGTACTTAGATACAACATACATGCCTGCAGAATTTACAGTTCTGGACTTGGTCACACTGTTTTGTCCAGAAATACTGTCGATTTTACTTACAACTCTACTTACAACTCTACAACTCTACAACTCATTGTAGTTCTCATTAGGGCTCAGCAGCCACTCCTCTTTGGTCATTAATGATGATTTGACTAGAGTAGGAAAAATAGGCAGCGATTGACAATTTGGATTTGACAAAAGCCTAATTAGGATAGTCAGCTAGACAACTGGGTGAAGCTGTGACTCTGGTGGAAACTTAATGTTGCTGATCTGCAGTGGCTTATTAGTCCTTTGGTGCAAATGGGGAGTGAAGCTGGTTCCCGTGGTCCAGTTTAGCAGACGAGCAGCTGTAGCGTTGTCGTGTACGGGGTTTCATACCAAGGGTGCTTGTGCTGTCCACTGTCATGAGCTGCAAGTCTTTGAACAGATGTTGAAAACCAACTCACCATGCATTCAGCACCCCCTCCCTCTTGGTTGTATTTGATGAGAGTCTGGTTGCCCTCATCTTGTACTATGGGAATGTGATTCAATGAATTATTCCCACACTTGCAAATCACGGCAAGAAGAAGTACTGCAGGAACACAGGAAAACAAAACCGTGAACAAGAATGTACGTGTTGTTGGGTTAACTATAAGCATTAGTGACCCGGTTGTGGCTTATTTACTGGTTATGTGAATAATTTCTTCACACCTAATAAAATGTAAATAATATTCAATTCAAAACGCTTTCCAAAGTAGTTTTGAATTTGGTATTAATAGAAAGTTCTTTTTGATACTTGAATAGAGCCTAACATTTGTATATACTCACACAAAAATAAGAGCAAGGCTGCAAAAATGGCTCCAATGGAAGATGATCCAGCACTGGCTGTGAATGGCTCTGGGCTAAGACAAACGGTTGACTTTCCACAGTCACAGATTGTCACTACCACTGTGTTGTTTCCACCAATGCTTTGTTGGTCTTGAATCAAAAGTGGCACAGAGTAGTTGCCATAAGGAAGTGTCCTTAGGCTAATAAGGCCTCCTTCCTGACCTGGAGAGGGCAGTAACAAGCAGTGTTTTAGTGGCTTCTTGTCTGAAATGATCTGTCCTTCAAAATAAGAAATAGCAGATTTTTACTTACCAACATCGGGCTTTATTTTCCAGCGCTGCTTTAGAGTTCCATCAGTATCTCTCAGTGAGAAAGTGAAGGGTCCACTGTAAGGATGGACATCTGAGTCCTGGGCAGCTATCATTACCATCTCTTCCTTGTTTCCACACAGTATGACGTTGTTGTTGACCAGTTTAGGGGTGTTGTCGTTGATATCTCTGAGGTGGATCAGCACAGTGCATGTACCGGTAGCTGGAGGATTACCTTGATAATGAAAGTCAGTTGATATTGATGTCAGTGATTGAAGATTCATCACTGTAGCTGTGACTTATTATTGGTGTATTGTGTAGCGGAAATGCACATATTAACAATGGTACCGCTAATGATAAAATAGCTTCTTTATACCATCATCGATGGCACCGATGGTGATGTTGTAGATCCCATCCTTGACAAAAGGCGACTCTCTGTCCATTTTCTTAACTGTTTTGATTTGTCCTGTCTTTTTATCAATTTCCATCCATTTGGCAGGATCATACAAAAGCTTATATCTAAAGACATGCAACAGAAATACAATAAGAAACACTTGGTGGAACAGAAGTGATCGTTTCATGGAGATATGTACATTTTTGTATGTCTAAGGTTTTGTGGATTCTGGCAGAAAACCTTTGAGATATTTTTAACGTGGTTAACTGTTATGAGTATGGCATAATTTTACAGTACATTTTAAAATGTCTATTTTTGTCCAATTTTGTTATATCTTTTTGGCAAGACAATTACCACCTTAAGATTGTTAGATTTTGACTTCTGAAACAACAAAACGTAGTAACATAAAAGGGCTCAGCAGCCACTCCTCAGACACTGACCGTATGTTGTTGATATCAGAGTCATCATCTTTGACATTTGGTGTAAACAGCACCTTTCCTGGCTCTTCTTCCTCCTTCTGGTACACATCATTGGTAGGTTTATCAAAATAAGGTGGATCATTAATATCAACAATTTCTACTGTGACTTTAACTGAAGCCGGAGGTGGAACTTTGACATCACCAGCTGAAGCAGCTTTACAGACAAACAGTGGTTCCTCGTTCTCCACGCTTATTTCCAAGGTGAGTAATTCAGTTCTCTCAAAGTCACTCTCCTGGGAAAAATAAAAAAACATGTTGTGTTTGCGGTGCTGCAACCACTCCACCACCACCACCACCAAAAACAAAATTACCTTGATGACATTTAGAATGCCTTCATTTGTGTTGGGGTCAGTTTCTATTTCAAAAAGTCCTCCTTCGTTTCCTTTAACGATGGTATACTTGGCGCGCCAGCCTGGAGTCTGTGGTGTGTCTTTGTCCTCCACCTCTAATTTTAAGATACCTCTTTGTTTAGTGGCTTCTTCCACCTTCCCTTCGTACTGGACAGGTAGAACAATTGACTATGAACATCAATAATCAAACTACAACAGTCAACAGGAACGATGGTAACAGTGATGTGACGATGACCCTTGCCTTGTTGCTCTTGAACACAGGTGGATGGGTGTTTGTGTCGACTACATTGATAGTAACAACAGCGGTAGAGGAAAGTGACGGTGTTCCATGATCTCTAGCCTCGACAATAACGTCCAGTGTTTTAACTTTCTGGTAAATAAACAGAAATATCTTATTTGATGTCATGTGTACACTGTTAGTAAAGCAAATGGAAATTGCGAGTCGTAGACCCTACATCGTAATCAAAACATCCGATTAATTGGAGATGGGCCATCCTGCTGTCAATCTGTGTCAAAGTAATCTTCGGCTCACTTGGTTTCTGTGAAACCACCCTGAAGGTTATATTGGAATTAAGTGTGTTCATCTGGTCCATATCGCTGGCCTCTAGACGCACTGGTAAGGTGCCTTTAGGAAGTAGAAAAAAATGTAGAAGAAATGTGAACACAATTTTCACAACAAAAAGAGTAGTGCCTCGGAACGACTCACTGCTAGCATCTGTATTGACCTTTCTCTTTGAATCTGACATCATTGTTACCTCACTCCTCCCTTTGTCAACACTTGTCACTTGATTAGAAGGGGTATTTAATCGCAGTGACGCACCAAAGAGCTGAAGTGAATTCCTCTTTGTTGGGATTTTGGCAACAAAGTTTTGACTTCTGACTTAATATTAGGGTGTTTGTGCTACATGCACTAAATATACTTTTGGTGTCAAAATGTAAATATGCAGATTTGTATTAATGATTGCATGGTCTTTGTTAACAACCTGTTACGTTGGTACTGTATAATGGATATAGTCATTGCTATTAATAGCAATGTAAACAAATCAAGCCAAGATAGCCGGTGGAACAGTGAGCTATACTCTGTTTCTCTGCATTGACTTACGTGTAAACCAGTCAAACAAGTTTTTCTCTCGTATTTTACTGTAGCCGCTGCTTGGCCATTACTGATATTATGATGAGGAAGTTCTTCTCACGCTTTTCTTCAGAACTTTCCTTTTGTTTGCAAATGATTGTACTAGGACTTTGTACTTTGTACTACTTAACTGTCTTTGCTAAGTTTTTTTTATTTTTTTATTTGCAGCTTTGTTGTAGAGGACAGGGCAGTATGGAACAGTAGAGCACAGTGAAGCACATACTGAATACTGGGCTTTTTACATTAGATATTCTTACACACTATTCTATTCCAACATTAAAATTACTATAGTACTGTTATGTATTTCCTGCCAACAACCCTTTGTAAATTTGACTTGACTGCCATTTTTGATAAATGATATTTTGCAGTTGTAAAATGTGTTTACTACATTAATCACATTACTCACATACTCACCCTCTGGTGTATTTTCCTTTATATTTTCTGTAATTCGAGGTTTATTAAAGTTTGGTGCGTTGTCGTTGATGTCCTTTATTTCTACGTCAAAAGACAGTTGTCTGTCAATTGGTTGTCCGGTATTTTTGTTCAAAATATCAAACTTGATCTGTGGATAGTGTTGCACATGTGAGATCATTTATGAAAAACAATAACATACATCTTTTTAATATTAATATTAATATAAAGCCACAAATTTACATGGAAGAAAGGGGTTTTCTCTCGGTCAACTGGTCTGAGGACATAGACTTCTCCTGTGTCTTTGTTAATGTGGAACACTCCCATTGGTTCCACATTCACACCCGTTCCACTTAATACATACTCATGGTCGTTTCTATCCTTGTCTGTCTTGTCATTAAACATCTAAAAAAAAATCACACGTTAAACACACAGCAAACATGTTAGATCTGGTCTAACACATATGGTGTGTTACAAATGTTGGGGATTCACCTGTGAAATGGTTTTAGGATACGGACCAGGATCTTCCTCTGTTAGTTCAATGGTGGACAACACCCACCTTCTTTTGGATCGCAGCAAAAGCTCCTATAGACCAGTGAAGTTCACAATTGCTTAAATTACTCCTTGAAGCCAAGCTTGTTGGCACGCTATTACAATTTCAATCATTTAGCACTCACCCTCTTTGAACGGTTTCTACCGTGGGCGTCTGATAGGGCTGCAAAGGCAACCTAAAACCGTTGGGAGACTGGTTAGCAATCTAATGTCACTTTAACACATTTAGACTTTTATTCTCCGTTCATTTCTGTGTGCATGAGTCTGGGAATGTCCTCCTATCACAAACACATAAAGCACACATGCCCGGGGCAACTGACAGTTTTGTTTTCAACTCTGTTCCTAAAAAACTAAATTAGGAGAAATAATGTGCAAACAATAAACTGTCTCTTGCAGCTGTTCCTTTGACAGGAGCCGGTCTCCGACTAAGGGATCATTATGTTCTCAATGGCATTATAAAACACAAGCAATAAAACAGATAAACACATCTGACATTCACAGAATTATTTAGGTGTATGGAAAACCATAACAACGTACTGTGCATCAATAATATTGGTTTCTGCCCTCTATTTATTTTATTGTATTTTTTAATTTATTTATTTTCTTAAATGATTTATCCTTCATATTAAGTCATCTAATGATTAATTTTGTGAGAATAGAATTCAGAAAAGCCACTTACCAAGAGGAGTAGAGCAACAGCTCTCATTCTGATCAGCTCCGTCTGGTGTGCTCTGTGGGAATGCTTCAAATAGTTAAACAGCCTGCACTACATAGTTGACAACCCACAATGCCTTCAGGTAGCAAGTTGGCTGAGTTTGCATTTCACAAAAGGCTGCTTGTTCCACTGTGCAGCCCTGCAAGGTGATATTTCAATGCATCGCCTGTACCTGGAGTTTTGTCCGAGCATTTAGGACCTGCCCTTGTGTTTGCAGCTATAGATAAGTCTGGTCTGTGAACTGTAATGTAGAAAAAGTCTTTTGGTTTGTATGATGAACTGCATTAACGTGGACGGGTGTGCCCCCCTGTGGTGGTATAGCATAAATTACCGTGTTGTTATGTTTGGCAGACTGCCTGTGTCTATCTGTATACGCATCAATCTCACAGTCAGATGAGACTTTAAAATGGAACCTGAGTAGCCAAAACATCCCAAGGCCAAGTTCTCGTAAAGAAATAAAAGTAAGGTAAAATAAGGTGACATTAATTCTATATATATATATATATATATATATATATTAACCTTTGAGTTTTTAAAATGAAAACTGAAAAGAACAGTCAGCATAGGATAGTGTTGCACATGTGAGATCATTTATGAAAAACAATAACATACATCTTTTTAATATTAATATTAATATAAAGCCACAAATTTACATGGAAGAAAGGGGTTTTCTCTCGGTCAACTGGTCTGAGGACATAGACTTCTCCTGTGTCTTTGTTAATGTGGAACACTCCCATTGGTTCCACATTCACACCCGTTCCACTTAATACATACTCATGGTCGTTTCTATCCTTGTCTGTCTTGTCATTAAACATCTAAAAAAAAACTACATAGTTGACAACCCACAATGCCTTCAGGTAGCAAGTTGGCTGAGTTTGCATTTCACAAAAGGCTGCTTGTTCCACTGTGCAGCCCTGCAAGGTGATATTTCAATGCATCGCCTGTACCTGGAGTTTTGTCCGAGCATTTAGGACCTGCCCTTGTGTTTGCAGCTATAGATAAGTCTGGTCTGTGAACTGTAATGTAGAAAAAGTCTTTTGGTTTGTATGATGAACTGCATTAACGTGGACGGGTGTGCCCCCCTGTGGTGGTATAGCATAAATTACCGTGTTGTTATGTTTGGCAGACTGCCTGTGTCTATCTGTATACGCATCAATCTCACAGTCAGATGAGACTTTAACATGGAACCTGAGTAGCCAAAACATCCCAAGGCCAAGTTCTCGTAAAGAAATAAAAGTAAGGTAAAATAAGGTGACATTAATCCTATATATATATATATATATATATATATATATATATATATATATATATATATATATATATATATATATATATATATATATATATATATATATATATATATATATATATATATATATATATATATATATATATATATATATATATATATATATATATATATATATATATATATATATATATATATATATATATATCAACCTTTGAGTTTTTAAAATGAAAACTGAAAAGAACAGTCAGCAACTAAGACTTTAAAATTTGTGCAGTATTTGCTAAAACTCCAAATATGTAACAGATGCAAGAGAGTAGATGCAAGAGAAGAGAGTAATTATAAACATGGACACATACAGAGGAATTGAACACTAATAAACAGACGTACAGCTCATCGTAACATTAGTGAACGCTTGGACTAGAATCGATAACACGTTTAAAACTATACTTGAATATTCTAGGGTCTGGTAGAGACTCATGATGATTGATTAGACATGTCAAAGACAACACTGAGCTCCATTCTTACTAACAGGCATAGAATCTGCTTCAACATTCATCTGTCTGGATTGGCTGTGTAATTAATCATATGGTTAGTTTATTTAGATTAGTTGTTTGGTGAGGTTTTTACTTACGGCAGCCCGTTGAATGGAGCATCACAGAACTGACTGCGACGTTAACTGGGAGCAGAATTTCTTTTAACTCACGTACGATTCATGTTTCCTACTCTATTTAATTAATAAATTAAATAAAAAATATTTTTATTTTATAATTATTTTAATTTAATGATAATAATAATAATAATTTTATTTTATAATTATTTATTTATAATTATTTTTTAAATAAATAAATCTTAAATTAATCTGTTGGGGGTTTTTGTGTGTGTATCGTTCAGATACATGTTGCTTCAGGTAAAATGGTTAATGTTTTGGATGGCGAGGCTTGGTCCTGTTTTGTAATGTAACAAAACCTGCCTGTAACCGCCCTCCCTGTTATGGTCAAGGCTGACAAACAATTCCAAGGAATCTAAGATTGCTCTTCCGTGCTGGTAGTAAAGATTTGCAGTGTGATTTAGTACAACAAAACCAGTGGTGTGCCAATCAAACTGCTTTATAATTCAAGTTGAAACAGACTACCAGATGAAGATAACCACAGGAATTCTAGGACATTAGAACTACCTCGAACAACCCTACTGCTTTGCCATGGAAACCACATGTGGCTCAAAGTGCTTTATCAGTTTGACAAAAATACAGTTTGGAGATTCTTTTAGACGTGCCAAGTGATTAAGTCCTACATTTTTATAACACTGACACATAGGGAGCTCACATTCTTTCAACAGCTGTCAAACCAAGAAAAAAAAAAAATTTTAAACCTCGTCTTATGGTAAATTACCTCAGAATGTGCCATTTTTTTGCTCTATTGAAATACTAAAATATGTTATGTTGTGTTTAGACTGTACACTACTTTGGTCCAGGGCAGGTTCTTTGGACGTTGGTTTTCATTATTCTAAAATGTTATAGTGTTATAGTGTTAATGTTCATGTATGGAATAAGAAACAGTTGACTGGTCCAGCAGGTCAGTTGTTTTAATAGGAGTGGTGCAAAGACTTTGAAGTTTTTTCTCCATCTGGGGCAGTGGTGGCTTAGTGGTTAAGAAGGCGGACTTGGCTCCAGAAGATTTCATGTTTGAGTCCACCAGCTGCCAACTTCCCACTGAGGTGCTCTGAGCTTGGCACCGTCCCCACACACTGATCCCCGAGCAGGTTGTTTTTAATGAGTACAATTCTAGATGGCTAAATATGTGCGGTATGACGGTAGTGAGGGTGGTGTGAAGTTCCCAGGAAGCCCTGACTAGATAATGGAATGGATCCAACTCAGTGGGCGGGTACACAAAACTGTTGTGCCCCTCCTTAAACAATGCAAGATATAGCCAGGCAGTAGAGCCATAAGGTCACATAGTATCAGTTTGACAAATGCATGATTTTCAATGGATAAACACTGTACTTGTTTGTTCCATTTCTCAGTGGTTACTGTTTTTTTTTTTTCTTATTTGTTTCATGAGAGTCAAAAGTCTTTCTTCGTACATTTTTTTCATTGTCAGTTCATGTTTAATTAGAGAAACGATGCATAACAGAGATAACAGTTTAAAAACAATGTTGACAATCCTTAGCCTCAAACACGTACACCCAGAACCTGATGTTCCTGCACCAACCGTCACATACTGTGCACTTCAAGGAAACACCTAAATTCAAACAGCTCTATTATTTTATCTCAAGTTTATAAATGGAGCAGGTTGATTTTGGCCTACACGCATCACCTGCACAATCCAGTGATGAAAGCACACACAAACTTAAAATAACAAGAACTTACAGATCAGGATTCGATGAGTATTCCTGTATACAAACAACTCAGGCCCTGGAAGACAACACGCACACACACACACACACACACACACACACTGCAGTTGATCTATGACAAAGTAATGCATGTAGATCTTTAACCCATTTGATTAATGTATTACAGGTGGCCCTCTGAATTGTGAAAGCAGCGTCTGTTTTGCGTCAGCAAAAATTTAATGTTCACTTCAACCCGTACAAATTTACAACAGCTTCACAATAAAAAAATATAATAGCGCTAAGAGGTGTCTACACTTGATTTGTCATTTCAAAACACAAACATTTTGTTTGATGAATATTTGTCAGCTGTTTTTTAATAGCTAGGTTTTTGTGTTGCTGTACGTGCAGCATGGTTTTCAAGTGAATGGGAGGAGATTTCCAAGGAATAATCGAGTGTTGCCAGCACATGACTTTGCGGGGGTAATATGACTCAGTTTGAATAGCTTCACATAGCTGATGAGAACAAAAACACACCTTCAGGATCTGGAGGATAACTGAAATACATGAGAAACACCTTTAAAGAAATTTACAGCCAAGTCCACAATGTCTGGAGTTGATGCAAATGTAGTAACTAAGTACAAACAATCAACAACAATGGAGGAACACAATTTATGAGGGTTTAGATGCAAGGAATCCTTCCTCCTCGTCTTCCTCCTCTGTTTCTTCATCCTTGGTCTGGGGAACAGAGGTCAGCAGCAGGGTGTCAGCGTGAACCTCTTCGTCGTCAGACTGAATCACAGGTGTGTCCACCTCGACACCACTGTTGTCACTGGAGCCGGAGGATGTAGAGGACAGGGGAGACTTTGAGCTGTGGTGCACCTCGTTTTGCCGTTTCATTGGCACACAGCCCCTGTACACGACCTCTGCTTCTTCATCCTCCTCCTCCTCCTCATCTTCATCCTCACACTCTGCAAAAAAAAAAAAGGAACAACATGGGTTCTGCCAGTGATAGCCGTCCCAGGAGGCTGTAGCTACATTGGTTAGGGATCCCAAAGAAAAAAGACATAATACCAACAGTGATAGACCTGTTAAAAATGTGTCTTTGGAGCCATTTTGTCCATTGATGTGTTGGAACAGACTTGTTATCAGAGGATTGCAATCCCTTGATCCCTTTTTAAAAGGAGCTCTCCAAAGACTAATATTTTGAATCAGCATCACAAGGTGTTTGTGAATCGGAGAGAATCCAGTCGTTTTCAAAGCAAAATGTCTTTTGCACTAAAAATGGAAAAGATCAAATTATTATGATGTCAATTTGTTCTCTGTGACTCACTGTTAGCTACTGGTCTGGAGAACCTCAGATAAGAATATCTTACATTTACAACATTTTAAGGCAAACAGTGTACCTGGTAGTGGTGATGCTATTGCGCCCTCCTCTGCTCCGGAGCCTGAGTTAAGAAACACGTCAAGAGCCTCCTGGTCAGATATATCCATCAGGTCCATCTGCTCTAGGACGTCCACGTTTACTTCCATAGAGGAAATACTGCCCATAGGTGCTGCCCATGTGGTAAACACAGGACATGGAATAAGACGTGAAGTGTAAAGTCAGTGAGGAGTTCTTTATCGATGGTACAACATTTACCACTAGTTAAAGCCACGCAGATATTTCCTACTAACATTTATTCATGTTAGAATGTTTTTCATTAATTATTGAAAATAGACACTTACGTTTCTTTGACTCGATCAGTAAATTAGAGGAGGGCAAGTAGTTGTCCACGTCATGTTGGTAGACATCTTCAAAAAAGCGCTGTCTCTCCCTCATCTTGGCTTGTTGGACAGAATTGTTGTCCAAACCCCTCTGAGAGTTGTCTGTCTCCGCTGTGCGATAGGACAAAAACACACAAATTAACGTTCACTGGACGTTTCACTGGACTCTTTAAATAATTAGACGTACCATAGTGATTAAAAATGACAGCAGAACTATCCAACAGATATATTATAATTCCTTAACTGCCTACAGTTTTTTATAAGCACTCTTAGAAATAATAAATACTGTGCTGTATGTGTCCTCTAATGAAAATGAGAAGATGAGCCGCTTTTGTATTTTATATTAGAAAAACTAATATCACCAGATAAATGGACTACATTTTTTTTCTTCATTCACCATGACCTCATTTACTATTTTTTTATTTCTTGTTTTTTCTTGAGGCAGTGAGACCTTTTTTTGACCCCATAAAATGCTCATCATGTTTTTCTTCGTTTATTTATTTCGTGTACCGTTATCTAAACTCAGCTGTTTAGATTAAAAAAAAAATCAATTAAAGCAAAATTGTCCCCAGCGATCGTCCAAGCTGTCCTTCTGTCTGTCTCTGTATGTGTCGGAGAGATGAAGACGATGATGTTGATGTGGTCGTTGGCCTGGCAGAGGCCCACCATCTTGTTATGTTATTTTTAAAGCATATGTCAACGTCACATTTCTCCTTGTGAGCGACAGTTTGATTCTTGATCATCTCACATGTCTACGTGTTGCGTTTGCAGAGTTTATTCATTTATTTATTTATCAGTGCATAAAAAAAATCCAGACATGAGAATCAAAAAGACATTGTTCTTTATCTCATCAGTGCATAAAAAAAATCCAGACATAAGAATCAAAAAGACATTGTTCTTTATCTGTTCTGACCTCTGGGCTCGACCTCTGTCACACCGACCAACAGTGATTATATAACCAAGCTGCAGCCTCCGATCACAGCGTTCTTTCCTTCATTGGCTGAGCTCCGTGAGCTGTCATCATCACTCCTGTCACCATTGTTTTCACTGCTTGAGTGTATGAACAAGCATGCGTACTTAAGCATCACACACGTGTGTTTGTGGCCCACGTACCTAAGCTCACTTTGTCACCCACTCCAACTAAAAGCATGTTGTGTTTGAAACCCAACATGACATGTCGTTGACATCCTCCAGTCTTTAACAGAGTCACTCACTCATCCACAGCCCCAGGGGCCGTTTGTCTTCGTGTACGGGCTCCGACCTCAGCTCTTTGTTGTGTCATTCAAACTGTCTGTAGACACGACATCTCTGACCTATATTTCTGCTTCTAAAAAAAGCCAGTGGTGGACATGGGCAGTACGCTAGAAAGGCAAATGATGCTTGAAGGTCCAGTATGTGGTGTGTGTGTGTGTGTGATCTGTTAAGGACTTCAGAATACTTTTCCTTATTATTTTCATGAATTTCTGAGAAAAAAAAGGCCATTGTCCAAATATCATGTTAGTAAAGCTGATCCACACAACTGTTGCAGGTGTAGACTGGTGGTCTTTTCTACAACCACCCTCTCACTGATCATCTCTGAGACACGTTTGTTCTACGTCCACTCACTGAAGAAACAGCCTTGGGGTAAATAAGACCAAACCCTCAGGTTGTGTCTCTCCGTATTATCTGTTTTGAGGCTATGGAAGGGAGATAAGATGGAAGAGATTGGCTCCAGGTGCCTGGCTGGACATGTACCGTCTACCTACTGTAGTTCTCACTGAAGCAGACCGTGTCTTTGCTGACTGGCCAGACTGTCTAAAGAATGAATAATTCACTACAACAACTATATGCAAAACTGGTTCTGCAAAAACCTCACATATACAAATAAGAAAACAGGAACAAGTTGTGGTTCATGCAAACAGAACACTAGAGTTGGAGTTTAGGTCAGGTGACCAAGCACATGGTTTTCAAACCCCTTTGGTGACTTCTTTTTATGTAAGTCAGCTGTAAGAGACTAACAGATTTTTTTTTTTTAATTTTTTTTTGTTCTTGAAGTGCACTTGTGATTTAATAGAGATTTATTGCCAGATGCAAATCACAATAGCAGGTGGATGTGACCAAGTATTAGCCGGATCCTAATAACAGCATTAGAGACTAAAGTAATGCTGCTATTAAAGCCACTACTGTATGTGATGTACCTCTAACAATGTCACAAAAAAACTTAAACAAGTGCTTAATCCAAAGACAATCACTGTGACCTTTCACTGAGCAGTTACTATTACATCCTCTACTCTATGGTGTCATTCTGGAGGAATTCTTTGACTCATGATGTGTAACAGGATATGTGCCCCCGGCTCCACCAACGCCTAAGCTGAATCATAATTACTTGAATTTACTGTTGCATGATCAGTGCACTGAATTATCAATATATTTCATTTCACAAAAATCGTATCAATCTCCTCCTCCATCAGTTATTGATTTAAAAAAAAAACCAAAAAAAAACAATATATCGTCCGGCCTATAGTATCGCAGTATATCGCAATTTATCATATTGTCGCCCTTGTATTGCGATATGAATCGTATCACCAGAGTCTGGCCAACACATCCATACTACTGTTGCATGATGTTAAAGCAACAATATTCAATCTGTAACTACGGTGTTTCCAAAGTCTGTCAGATTACTGCCTGGATTTGTGAGAGAAGCTCAAATTCCGTTCAAATAGGAGAGGCAGTGTTACGCAACTCAGCCTGCTGTGCATTATTCTGGTTGTGAAGTAACTGTAGTGTCAGTGATTTCTCTGTCCGTGCTTGCCTCAGCTAAGCCTCACACTCAGAATAAGAAGGCTCGGTGACATCATGTGTTTGTTTTTTTCTCTCTCTCTGCCAGAAGAGTGTTGAGGCAAACAAAATGCACACTTTTTTTTTTCTTTCTATGCAACGCACAATCCTGACTCTAAAGAGGGCTGTGCTGTGATCAGTTAATCGGAAGTATGTACCAGAGGGTGTGTGTGTGTGTGTGTGTAGCCGCAGGTCTGGTAGGAACAGTTGAGCTAAAGCACATGATTACTTTTTTGCCCTCTGATCCTTTTTAGCCTCAAGTCTTCTGACCCCTAAAAATACATATTCAGTCAACACAAACACACACACACACATATCTCCAGGTTGTCTTATTTCAACCCTGCACACACACATCTCCAGGTTGTCTTATTTCAACCCTGTGCCAAACCTGTACTTTTACTTTCCTCCCCTCTCTCCACCCTCTGCACTCCACCTTTTCTATAATGAAACCTTCAACTCTAAATCAATACATGCTGCATTCCCCTGGTCTGTGTCACTTTAACGGCGCAGTCATACATCATGAGTCCCAGGAAGGGCACTGAAAGCACAGAACAAATGTTACTATTGAGCCTCAGAGTCACATGTTTATGCAGTCAACCCCTGTGTGGTAACTAGAACGACTCCCATGATCATCGGGGGGTTTTCAGAGAACAGAGAGCCTGGGTGTGTTGTGTTTGTAGACAACAGATCCTGTCGGGCTGCAGCTCACAGTGAATGGTCACACATTTGACGGCCCATTTATCTAAGAACTCCACCCACCTCCTCCTGTAGCCTCCATCAGCCCCACGGGGTGGGAGACACTGTCAGCCCAGCTCCAGGCTGTAAAGAGCCTCATCATTTTTAGACATTATTGTTATTACTTACAGAGCTGGTCACTCTCCACCGCCGGCCTCAGAGACTCAGCAATCCATCAAGCATAAATCATTTATGTGTGAGATCACTGCACCACATCAGCCACCTCCAGGGCCGTGTCTGACCACACTCCACTCTTACCCACGTACTGTATCCACAAACACGTAGTACCAAATAAAACCTAATAATTTTCCTAATATTTGACTCTGATTCCACCTCACCACCTATTGCAAGATTTCGTTTCATGATGCCATATTGATATTCTACAGCACTGTCACCTTTTGCAAGATTTCGTTTCATGATACCATATCGATATTCTACAGCACTGATTTTTTGATTTTTTTTTCTCACCAACTCCCAGTCCAATATTCCTGGTGTTGGTTCATGTTCTTTTTCTTTTCTTTCTCCTCTAGTGATTCCAAATGTAGATCCTTCTGTTCCAGTGTTAGGAACTGATGTTCAGATGGAACAGAGTCTGAGACTAGGATCACACTGGGGGGCGAGGGGGGGGGACCTCAGTATATCACCGTGACCTCAGTATATCGCCGTGCCTATAGTATCACAGTATATCGCAATATATCATATTGTTGCCCCTGTATCGTGATACGTATCGTTTTGCCATTCTTTCGTCTTCCCCATACACAGCCTTATTTTTTAATGTATTCAGACCTCAATTACCTACAACCACCTTCCTGTCTAATAGACTGCCCCTGGTAAATCACCTCGCCTTCGCCTTCAGCTCCCCATTATCCAAGTGTGTGCTCACGTTTAAAACCCGCTCCACCACCAGCCTTCTCCTACCGTAGTGTTTGATCTGATTGTGTATTCCCTGGACACCATCAAAGCCATTAGGCCTCCTCACTCAGACCTAAATGCAGAGATGACCTCCAGCAGTGCCCACTGCTCCCTATCACGCTCAATCAAAACTGCTCCTCTAGGAATCCGCAAAGACCTGTTTTGTATGTGGTGTCCTGCCTTTACTCTGTGTACATCAGTGCTACGTACTCGCACCACAACGCACGTTAGCAACTTCAGCCAGAGACTTATTAATAAAAAAAGCGAGGAGACAATTGTTTTTGTCTACAAAAAGTAGACAAAAACAATGTCTGTACAAAAAGTACAGACTGTCGTCATCCGTTTTCGTCGGTCTCTAGGATGTAGACCAATGATGTTGCTGCAAACAAACATCATCTGACTCAACAGAGCTGTGTGACAGTGAAGGATGTTTGACTAATGCCCGTGGCTTTTATATTATCAAAGATGTTTCATCTTTACAGATGCCACCATGTCTTGGTTCGAGGCGTGAAGACAGAATTCATGATGATGTTTAGTTGGTGGTAAAAATATAATGTCACTCACTGTCCACACAGATCATACTAAACGCATTATTTTGTCCTTTTTTCTTCAAAACTCTAACAAACTCAACATTAGTCGGTGTTGAACCCTTAAACATGATTTATTATCAAAATCTTCTGCTAAAATATTCCCAAACAATTTTCAACCTTTCCACAACAGGACACAAACTTTGACCACACCACATGTCTCTCTCTCTCTCTCTCTGTCTCTCACACTCTCTCTTCAGCGACATCATACTCTGGTTCCTTACTTACACGTGAGCCGCTTGTTGTGGTTGGTTTTCCCGACAGACGACATGGCTGTAGTGATGGAGGCTGGTTGAAGAGAGTCACTGCCCTGAACCTGAGTGTGGGGGTTAGTGCTCTGTCCTGTCAAGGCTCCAGGACAGGACGTTGATGTTGATGAAGTGTCTGGTCATCTGGTCATCACATCTCTTAACTGATTGCACCTTAACTCCAAACCCCTCTCCTCCTCTTCTCCTCTCCTCCTCTGGTTTGCTGATGTCCCCTCTCTCTTTTTTCTTTGCCTTTGCTCTTGTTTCTGGCTTTTCCCTCTGACTGTTTCACTCTCTCCTCATTTGCCTCAGTGCCTCTCTCTCTCTCACACACACATGCTGTCCTGCTTCCTCTGTCAGACAGGATCACAAGGGTTGTAACGAACCGTGCAGCTTAAGGATGAGGGGTTGGGGGGGGGAGTCGTAGTGGGCTACGGCACTGTGGTCTGTACCAACGTCTGACACTGTGGGGGTCAGCAGGATCAGAGGGAGTAGTAGGCATTTTATGTAACAGTGAGGAACGTACCACCACTGGACCCCCGTCAGTGTGACCGTCACAGGTTCTCCACATCATTTATTAATGAATTCACTTTGTTGTTGGAGGATGGAGTCTTTAACAGTCTCACGTAAGAGAGGAGCAGAGAAGAGAAGCAGTAGCATAAAGCAGCGTTTGTTAATTTGCAGAGAAAGATATTTTTTGTTAAATCACCTTTATTCCATTTATGTTGATATTAAATAAGCAGTGGATTTACAGTATATTTAACGTCCTGTTACAGAGAGGTTTAATCAACTCTATGCCAACATAACCAACCATCCTCATTTACTGATTTGATTTCCTCGTTACCAATCATGACTGAGGAGAAGTCAGCAGGTCACCACAGGTCACCACAGGTCACTGTCTTACTCAGCCCTAACCACTTCCACAGTAATTCCCATTCCCTGAATCCACCAGGTCAGTTTGACGGCTGTGAATTCTCTTCCACAACACCTCCTCCTGCTTCTCCTCCCAGCCTTCACTTTAATGCAATTGCAAAGCCTGTGGAGTGAACCTTCAACCACTTAACCTCAGGAGGAGAGAGGCAGGTTATCTGCTGCTGACGGACGGCCATATTTATATTAATATAATATTTTATATTATATTTATAGTCAGAGGAACTCATTGGCCGTTATTAATGATGTGACAGCATTTAGACCTGACACCAGTAACTGATCAATCAGAGGTTTAGATCAGTCCCCGCCCATCATCCTATTGGTTCATATACACGACTGTTAGTTAATATTTAAAACATATAATAATATGACGGTGTACAGTATTATATAATATTGGTCAAATGTTTTGTTAAACTCGTTGGCTGAGTGTTTTTCCGCTGCAGAGGTTTCTCAATGTGAGCTGGAAAATAACAACCAGAAATAACTGGCAATTAAGTGCAGCCAGAGGCACACAGGCAAACACAGTGGAGCACAATCACTGTAACTGTCTCTCATGGGGGGGGGAGTTAATAATCACTTAGCAACATGGAGTCCTACAGGTCCTGACTCCCCCTCCCCACTAATAAGAGGCTTCTAACAGCCAATTACATCACACTTTAACTGGAAGAAGACGCTCAAGTTCAACCACGGATGTCACGGAATCTAAAGTGGATTCACTGCTTGTTCTGCAGCATTCTGTACTTTATTAGTTACAGTATTAGTTACAGTATTAGTTACAGTATTACTGAGTGATGTTTTACTGTTGGCTTTCAGCAGTGACAAACAGAAAACCTGATCTCAGGTCTGCTCCTGACAAGAACGTTTACTGTATCACTGTGTACAACATCACCTGAATACACTGACTGAACTCATCTCCACCGATGGACTAACAGTGACATCTGCTGGACAACATTAGATATCACAACTAAAGTCACATTAGGACGTGTTAATCGGAAACAAAACATCAATTAGTTAACCCATGTGGATGTTTTTAATTGGTAGGGTGAATTTAACACGTCTCCGTAAACATCGGGAAGGTTTGACGTTAGCTGACAACAAAACAGACGCCTCGTTTTGTGGTTGCTTTGGTTTACAAGTACGTATGATAAGAGAATCACCTTCATGACTCTGTCAACAAATACAACCAGATAAAATTCATTCACCACTCATATATTGGGGATTTCCAGTGACTCTGTGTGTGTGTGTGTGTGTGTGTGCGTGTGAGAGTGTGTGGCTGTTGCTCTTTTCGTGCTGTCATTACAGGTTTCCTGTTTGAAACTCACTTGTCTCATTTTCTGCATTTTGTCTGATGTGGGTTGTGACTCATACTGTGGTAAACACACATTTATGCGCACACACACACACACTTATACACATGCACATACACAAAAGTTGCAAATATATGCATTCACACCTTCACACTCACACACACACACACACATAATCCCAGTTGCATTCATGGCAGCCGTGGTGGTACATTACATTACGTTACACGACCGTTGCATGCTGGGTTTTCTCGGGTGATTGAAACAGTTCTGCCAAGCAACAGACAGAAAAGTTGATATCTTCACATCTTCACCACAGTGCCAGACAGTGAAGTCAAACTTTATTAAAAATATCACATTGTGCTGTGTGAGGGATATTCTTGGGGTCACCATGGCAACAGACATCCAAGTGCCACGAGCACACCTGCCTGCCACTTCTCCGGCTCCAGCCTCCGAGCCTCCCTTGCAGACAGTATCATGGCGTAGAAAGCGACAGGACGACATGGAGGTGACAGTTTGCGGAGGCTTTGTTCAAAGCCAACAAAGCACGCGGCAGATTCAGGGTGTTAATTAGCCGTTTTTTTGATGAAGAAGACGAGCTCTCCTTCAACTGTGCGATGCACAACGTTTGGTGCGAAAGAACGGCTTTTTCTTGACAGACGTTGTAAAGAATGTGAAGAAGTGACTGGCACTTTCTTCAGTGCAGAAACACAGTCATCACCTTCAGAACTTCGCTCTTTGTCCTTGTCGTGCAGACAGTTACTGCAGCTTCCCGTCAGATTCTTCTTCACTTTTTTTTTTAACACAAACACAACAAGTGGGGATAAATCTGAGCCGGGGTCTTTGGTCTCTGTGATGAGTGTGCTGTAAACCTCATGTCTTTAAAGTCTGAAGTGGCCACAGCTCCCTGATTATGCAATGTGCTTACACACACACACACACACACAAATACAAATGTGCTTAGACACAAGTTGTGAAAGTGTGTGTGTGTGTGTGTGTGTGTGTGTGTGTCAGTGTTGGTGTGGGGAAAGAACAGATTTGGTTTTTGTCATGTCAGTTTTGCAAATGTGTGCAGAGTTTTCAGTGTCTAAATAGGATCTGGTGACTCATGTGGAGAAAACAGCTTGCTTGGACTGGGAGATTGTGACAGTATCGGTTCGACTGTTCATACTTGGCCTTGCCACCAATAAACAGCATCCAACCGAGTATTTTCATAGGACGATTAGTCATTCTAGGATGCAAAATGCAGAACCGCACTGTAGCAGGTTTCATGTGACCTTTTGAAAATATAGTGACTAATTACGTTTTGAGTTACTCTTCGTGAAGGCTAGTTTTTAAATCCAAAATTGTGTGATCTGTGATCAGTGTAGTTCCTGCTACAAGTGGGCCTCTGATGGGAATTTTAAATTCTAAACATTTTAATCAGAACTTCATCGGTTCAACAGGCACATGCGATAAATCGGTACCATCGAAACGGTTCCTTGACGTCGCTATGAAACGATAGAAAAACTGAAGGATTGGGTTTCAGTTTCTCCACAGACCAGTTCATCGTCTCTGATTTTTCCATCCTGTCAGATTATGAAACATGTATTTAAGGAGTAGACAGACCCTCTGCCCTGATCCAGTCCGTTCCCCGCGGTCTGTCCCCCTTTTGTTTTTACCCATATATATATATATATATGTGTCATTGTGTCACCTGTTTTCTACGGCTTTAATATTTATGTCTCAGATTGTTTTCCCCAGAGTTCATGTGTGTAATGGCTCATTTTATAGAAACACACACACACATCACACATCACTAAGTTGTTTTTGCAGCGGAGCACACACGGAGTGGTGTGTATGTGCATGTGTGGGGACTGTATGTATGCATGTGCGTGAATATATGCATGACTGTGTGAGTCATGCACCACTCTCCAGCCCTCTGGGCTTTGAGTTCTGATGCCCATCCTTCAGCTCCTCTACTGCACACTGAACCCAGTGAACCTTCTGCTGTTTATACTCTCTCTCTCCTCCTCCTCCTCCTCCTCTCCTTCTTCTTCCCCTCCGTGTTTGCTGTGTCTCTATTTATCTCCCATGCTCACTCTTTCTTCTCCATCTCTCTGTCTTACTCTTCTTCTTCATCCTCCTCCATCTAACCTGCAGTACGGTTCTCACTCTTACACACTCCCTCCTGTTCTCTCTCACTCTTTTCACTCATCACTCTTGTCTTTTTTTTTTCTTAACAGTGTCAGTATCCTTTCACATCCATAACTATTCAGACTGGAAATTCTTGGAGGCAGGAGATCAGCTCAGAGCACGTGTACAGAGATGGGTGTCAGTGGTTCACAGACCGTGATTGAATACCATTCACATCCTCAACCTCCACCTGCCTTCACTGCATTCATCACCTCTCACTCCCACGTCAGTTCATTACCATCCTCACCATCTCCACACACAACCGCTTACAGTCGTTCCATCAGGTCGTAAAATGTTCAGCAACTGGTGTGTGTGTGTGTCAGCCATCACAGACCAATCCTGTCCTTTTATTAATGTTAAAGTCAGCAGGATGTTGTATTTTCTTAATGATGGAATGTATGTTTGACAATAGAGTTAGAAATTAGGATTAAAATAAACCAGGAATATACGTCAGATAATTATAATCTTTATATTAATATGACTTTTCCTTTTTTTAAATATTTTACGATTACTAATAAAACTAATAATTCATACATATTTATAATTAAAAATAAAGATAAATATAATTAAGATAACGACAAGTCACAGCCTTCAACCAGTCGAAGCACTCGTTTTCTTGACTGACTTTTATTGGGTTTTTTTACCTACTTATTTACAGTGTAGAAACAACCCAGTCATAGCTGTTGTTAATGAAACTTGTTGTTAGTTTAATTAATTTAATATATATTGATTTTATATAATACAGAGAGAGCAGCTCACTTGGAATCCTTCCACAACTTGTTTTTACTCTACCCTCCAAGAACCGCGACCCGATCTCCTGCTGCAAACGGCTAATCACGTACTGAACCAGCTGAGGGGAAACGGCAACTCCACTCCGTGTCTCATCCATTATTCATGTCAAGCAAATGAAGTTGGTACAGTGGGAGCAATCAATTATAGATGGGAAATGGTAGAGTTAAAAAAGAAAGAGGGAGGGAGGGTTGAAGATGCTTAACATGTCAAGGAACATCAGAGTGGTGGTGAGAAACTGACAAGTCAGAGAAACACTTCTGGACCTGCCTATATATTTTCATATATGTTTTTATATGCACACATAATATATATATATACGTACATATACTGTATATATGTACGTATGTATGTATGTATGTATGTATATACACGTATATACGTGTATTTATATCTCTGCCCTCTGTGCTCCATCTGAAGCCTTGACAAATGTGTTCACGCGCTGCTGA